GATAGATAGATAGATAGATAGATAGATAGATAGATAGATAGATAGATAGATAGATAGATAGATAGATAGATAGATAGATAGATAGATAGATAGATAGATAGATAGATAGATAGATAGATAGATAGATAGATAGATAGATAAGATAAGATAAGATAAGATAAGATAAGGTAAGGTTAGATTAGATTAGATTAGATAGATAGATATAGATAGATAGGTAGATAGATAGATAGGTAATTAGATGAAAGGGATAGACAAAGAGAAAGAGAGAGAGAGAGAGAGATCGATAGATAAATACATACATAGATAGGTAGGTAGGTAGGTAGATAGTCAGAGAAAGAGAGAGAAAGAGAGGAGACCTCAACCACCTTTCAGTCCATCAGTGGCTTCGCTCTGCCATCCCTGATTCACAACAACCAGTCTCTCCTATAGGTTTCCTATTTTTTTAACTTCCGCCACCGCCTTGTGCGGTACTACTGGTACTCAAAAACATAAACAAAATATGTCGGAAATTACCATTTTCATGGCTGTTCCCATTAAATAGAAAACTACTGACAATGGTTCCCAACCTGGTTTCTGGAACTTGACCAGCAGAAATTGTAGTTGGACAAGGTGAAGAACCTAGATGTTACTTAGTTCAAGAGAGTTGTGGTGTGACCTAGCTGGGAATGCTACTTAGTCCTAGAGAGCTGCAATGTGACCTAGTCAAGATGCTACATAGCCCAAGAGACTTTCAATGTGACCTAGTTCATACTCTATTGTTTATCACCACAAGTGAGTCCTAGGGGGTAAGCTTGAAGAGGGACCCATTCTTAAGTCACATTTTCTCAAGCTAAGAACCATATGTCCGTAGCATTGTTGATTTGAGATGGTCACTAGGTCACATGTACATCAGATAGCATTCTTCAAACTAAGTCACATTAATGGGGGACCTGAAACCTTTGGCCAATCTATTGTGAGAATATATTTCAACATAGCAACCGCACAAATACGCACATCTCCACAGCCTGTAGCTGTCACAACTTTTTCACCACCACCCCAAGTCTGTGGTGCAAGTGCCAGGCTGCTGGGAACCACCTGGCAAGGCAAGTGAAAGCAAATAACAGTCAAGGAGTTGAAAAGAGACTTCAAACACAGAACGTTTTTACACAACTGTGCCTGTCAACAAGAAGAGGCTGAAACTTTTCAGTTGGAAGGCCTGCAACAAAAAATGAAGCAAACACAACCCATATACATAGCCTGTCTTTGCTGCTGCTTGGCCCATACCCAGGCATGTAGCCACCTGGGCCATGTTTGGATCCAAATGCTGAAGTCCAAAATAAAAATTATTCTTCCAGTTCCTCCATGGCAGCCTCCATCCTCTCCTTGTCCCATTTGGTCTTGGCCTTAGCTTTTCCTGGTGGGATGAAAAGGATTTAGAAGTAAACATGTCAAATCCAAAAACGCAGAAGCACGTCCAGGTCTTTTGGTCACATCTGAAACTCTTTGTGTGCTTCCCTTTGGAGTGTTTCCCTTTGCTTTTGCTGGAGCTTCACCTGCATGCCAAAAAGATAGGGATGGCTTAGGAAAGAATGGCAGCCCACCTCGAAGAAGAGTGGTTGTCTGACTGTCCTTCGCCTTTGTTTGTGCTTCAAGGTCCGGGTCACCTCCTGCAAGCATGAGAGAATGGACATGGCTTTGCAATTACTGCCATGCACTTAGTGCCATGTATGCGACTTAAATGGGAAGTTGCTACCTAATTCCAATGCTACTTGGTGTCAATTTTACTTAGGGGTCATGCTACTTAGTGCCAATGCTCATGCTACTTAGTGCCAATGCTACTCAAGGCCATTAATGTTACTTACTGTAACTTGTGGAATTGCTACCTAATGCCAGTGTTACTTAATGCCATGAGTGCTACCTAGTGTTTTTTTTTTTAAGGGGTTGAATCCAAAATGCAGCCCAAGCACTCATGTAGAACTGCACATCACCTGGAGGAGCTTTAGTAGGTGGCCTGGATGGCTGGTTCAAGCTGTTCCTGAGGTAGCGCAGGGCCCCAATTTTTGCATAACTGGCACCTCAACTCACAACATGGGCAAGCCAGAACCACAAGCTCATCTGAGCCAGGCATGTTGCCATACCCGTGGTATTTGGCATGTTTAATGCCTTGGCCATAACAGGCTCCTTCATGTTCCAACATCCTTTGGCAGCTACACACTGCTTAAGGAACTAGCTAGGTTGCACCCTTTGAGCCATGATGCAGGACATGTACCAACATAAATTCAAAGCATTTCAGCAAATACTGTACATCATGTTTCAGGCCAGCCAATACCTGGCAACACAACACAGCAGCAGCTTGAAAAAACATTTTGCTGGCCACAACTCAGTGAGACTCAGAGCTGCTGTGGCTGCTCTCAGAAGAAAAGTCTTTGCTTTCCTTTGGTGAAACAACAGGTGTCTGGTTTTCTACCCCTTCCATCTTCTCTTCCTTTTCCAGTTCTTTCTTCACATCCTCCATCTCATGCTTTGCTTCTGCCAACTCTTCTTTCACCCTGCTCTTTTCAGCAAGAAGATGAAGCTTGGCCCGCATGGTAAGCTCAACTTCATACCTTGAAGACACAGTTGGGCTGTTAGCTAGTTCTGTAGGCGAAACACATTCTGTAGGCACATCTTCTGTAAGTGAACCCTCTTCTCCTTCAGCTGGTGCAGCTCGTGTAGCTGGTGTAGCTGGTGGAGCTGGTCCAAGTGGAGAGGGTGAAGTGGATAATTCTTCTTCTTCAGCTGGAGGACTTTCAGTTTGTGTAGCCATGGTGGCTACCATGGGACCAGCAGTCTGGGTCCCCAAACTCTTCACCAAAGCCTTTGGCTGGGCTTTTGGCGTAGCAGCAGGAGGTTGTTGGGATTCCCTGCTCACCCTCACACTAATCCTGTGCTCAAAGAACCTTACAGCCTGCAGCTGTTGCAGAACTGATTGCATGGTGCCATGGGTTGCAAAACCCAAAAAGACCACACACATGGTTGCATTGTGGTGGATATGGGGCACAGAGCAGTGGACAGGCTGCTGACCTGTACAATTCTGGCACCACATCCAAAGGCCATTGGTGGAGCACCAAGAAGGAAGGCCACCAACAAAGATCCTGTAGGCCATTGCCCAGCGAAGTGGTGAATCCCAGTGGTGGCTATGTTGTTGGGCAAAAAAATAGATTCATTGAGAAGGAAAAGAGCAATATCAAGTAAATCATGGCACCAGTATCACCAACATCCATCGAGCAACATCCATCGAGTTGCATGTGAATGCAGAAGTGTCACCAACTACAATGTGATGATTTGGATTGAAGCTTGGGTGCGTAGCCGTCGATGCTCCATCCATTGCATGATACTGGAACTAGTCATGTGAACTTATATCATCAAAGATGATTGTTCATGGAATACAGTCTGCTAATCTGTGACATGAACACTGATGGTACCAATATGGATGTCCATTAGGTGTGCATGTCTACTTCAGGAACCACCAGGGTCGGGTGAAACAAACATTTCACATTACCGACTTTGGCTCAAGCACAGCAAAAGAGAGAGCAGCTTCACTGCTGTTTACGTTGCCTTGTGCGGTCGGGTAGCCAGAGTTTTTCCTGGTTATCAGCCGCAAGGCTCACCAGTAGTTTTCCCTTTTTCCTAATTTGCATTTTTTCCTCGTCGCCCGCCGATTCTTGCATTCGTATCTTGATTCGCCGGCTGTGACTTCTGAAGGGGAAGAGCAGATTGGGGACGTCCTGTGGAGACTCATAGACTGGCACCGAGGTGGCCGGAGGGGTGCAGGAAAAATTGGTTTTATCATTCGAGGTTTCCAAAGCGGAACGCTTTCAAATAAATACCTGTTTGTTATCGACTTATCATGGCCGTTTCCAGCTACAAGCCTGAAAACAATGATTAATTAAACATGTGAAAAAATGTGTTTCAAAAATGCAATTTGTAAAAATGTGAAAAAATGCATTTCAAAAATGTGAAAAATGTGAGAAAATGTGAAAATAAATGTATTTTTGAAAGCAATTTTGAGGTTTTGTTATCTTATGATTTGCTCCTGGTAGTCATTGTTTTGCTATAGCTAATTTAAATTAACAGATCTGCGATCTGGACAGTCCACTTCCGATCGATTTGAAGTGCCCCTCTCCGATTTTCAACCTGCAGATGTTGGGCAGGCAGCAAAGTAACTGCAGCAAAACTGGAACCCAAAAAAAACAAAGCTGAAGAAAAAGAAATCTGAGTTCCACCTTCCCAACTGGATTTTCAAACGTTTTTTTTCACATGTTTTCATAGTTTTTTCGCATTGTTTCACATTTTTTTGCATGTTTTCGCATTTTTCACTTTTTTTCGCATTTTTTCAAGTGCATTGTCAAAACACATTTTTTTCGAGTCGCATTTTCAAAAACGCATTTTTTCACATCTTTCACATTTTTCACAAAAATGTGAAAAATGTGAAAAAATGCGTTTTGAAAATGCACCTGGAAAAAACTCTGGAAAAATATGTTTTGAAAATGCACTTGAAAAAAAGGCAAAAATGTGAAACAATGCGAAAAAATATGAAAACATGTGAAAAAAACGTTTGAAAATCCAGTTGGGAAGGTGGAACTCAGATTTCTTTTTCTTCAGCTTTGTTTTTTTTGGGTTCCAGTTTTGCTGCAGTTACTTTGCTGCCTGCCCAACATCTGCAGGTTGAAAATCGGAGAGGGGCACTTCAAATCGATCGGAAGTGGACTGTCCAGATCGCAGATCTGTTAATTTAAATTAGCTATAGCAAAACAATGACTACCAGGAGCAAATCATAAGATAACAAAACCTCAAAATTGCTTTCAAAAATACATTTATTTTCACATTTTCTCACATTTTTCACATTTTTGAAATGCATTTTTTCACATTTCTAAAAATTGCATTTTTGAAACACATTTTTTCACATTTTTTTTCACATGTTTAATTCAAACTACTACAACCCTTCTGTAGCTCAGTTGGCCTTGATAATTATCGACTCTTCTTACATTGAGAATTCACACACCACTCTTAGAGACTCGGTAATCGCAGCAGTGGTTGACGATCAGTGGGAGGAGGAGGAGGATACTTTGTCAGGCCAAGAGCCACAGGGTGCGTCTTCTTCTTCTTCGAACCGTCCGCTGTCGCCGCCAGGCCCGCCCCCTCGGAAAAGGCGTTCGATTGCACGTGCAGAGGCGATTGCTTCTCAGCAGCCTAAGGCCGTGTCAATTTCTGCAGTTCCTAAGGAACCATTTTTTCCGCCTCCTAGGAGTGGAGCATCTTTGATTCCGAGGGAGCCGCAATATCCTCCGCCAGGGAGGGAATCTTCTTTGAGGCCTCGCTACTTGCTACCGGATTATTCATTACTTTTTGTGTGGGGAGCGGACAACAAGCTTGTTGAGCAACGGTCGACAAAGGATTTTTGTGGCATTTGTGGTATTTATCGTGAGATCCCGCCCGAAGAGAAGTTTCTTGTAGTTCTTCATTGGTAAAATATGTTGTCCCGATCGAAGACGGAGAGTGCAGGTACCTTGGGAGAATCTTGAACTGCTCAAGCGTCTTAAAGACAAGTTCCAAAACAGGATCGTTTTTGCGATTTGTTCTTTCATCAGTGCGTCACAGTCTAACTTGACATCATTGGTGGAGGCGTGCAATTCGACTGAGGGACTCAGTTCTTTAATTTCGTTTGTGGTGGTTACAAGGTCGAAGGTTGGGAGTCAGGGGAAGAAGGCGGCCATTGAAGCTCTGGCGCAGCGCAAAGCCCCAACGGCCCTAGTGGACGATAATTCCAATACCATCGCTGAGTGTGAGTCTGCCATTTTTACAATTCATCTCAAGCTGCGTGGAAAGCCATCTGCAAGAAGGGCTGGAGCAGTGAAAGAATTTGTTGAGGAGTGCGGTGAGCTTATCGAAGAGAAGCTCATCGAGTACATTCCGAATTGGCAGAAAAATCGTGAACATGTCCGGGTTCGACGCCAAGATTGATGAGTCTTCCGAAAGTGATAGTAGGTCTAGATCAGGTCTTCGGGTTCAAGCATCGTCTGTGCATGTTGCAATCACTAGTTCATCAAGTTCGTCATTTTCATCGCCTGAGGTTCAAAGGTCTGGTGTGTTGCCTTTAGGCACCGCCATTGAAGCCATAGTTGAACAACCAAATGTTGAGATGCCTTTGGGCACCAACAATAGTGAAGTTCAGTTGGCCTTAGGGAATGGGCGTCCTGATGCAACATTGTCACAGTTTTTGCAAGGTAGTCCGAATGACCAAATGCAGAATGTTCCAGCCAATCCATTCGATAGGTCCTCATATCCAGAACCTTCCAGCACCGGTCCGGTCGGGTCACCAGGGATGGGGAACACCTATGTGATGAATAATCAGTCAAATGTTCGAAACGAACTGCATGTATCATTGGATCCGTTACTTGTTGCTCATGCAAACCAAGCTGCAGAGCAATCAAGAGCCAACATCCTTTCTCAAGGCAAAAGGGCTCTGGATCAATCGAGAGAACAGTTGAGGAAGGAGGCCACTCAAGTAGTAGGTCAAGCTCATGAAGCCGCAAGAGCTGAAGCCTTACATATGATCAATCAGGTTCATTCCACAGCAGCTAGACCTGTTGAAGAAGCTCGTAGTGAAGCCACCGAGGTTTTGCAAAGGGCATCATGTGAAGTGAACATGATCAGAGATCAAGCATCTACCGAGATAGCTAGGATCAAGGGGGAAGCTCAGCGAACCGTAGCTTTGTTAGAAGGTAGGATTCAAGAGTTGATGCACGAGTTGAGTCACATGGAAGCCAAAACGCATGGCATGGTTGAAGAACGTAATACTATGATCACTCATTTGGTTGATAGAATCCAGGAACAAGATTCAAAGATGAGTGATCTAAAATCCACTATCGCCAGAATGCAGGGAAATGCTATGAGACAACCATTTGAGACAGGAAATGGTGCGGAAATTAGAATCCATACTCCTGAAGGGTTTGGGTCCACCAGCCAGGGTCAGCCAGTTGGTCAGCCATTGGTCCATCCTTCAGCCCAACAAGCGAGTGTTGAGGGTTTGCAAGTTGGATTTTCTTCTCTTGCCCGGGGTTCTAGAGGCCAGAAGTTCGGCGAGAAGCCTTTAGGCTCCGTCAGACGGTCGGCCAAGGATGAAGGGTCAAGTAAGAAGGATGTGGTTCAACGTAGTAAGTCATCATCACCTCCGGTTGAATATGTTATTTCCAACATGAAGTCAATGCTAGCGCAGATTGAGCAGCAGGTTTCTAGATCCCCGTCAGCCAGAGAGCCATCAGACAAAGGGAGTTCCAGTTCGTCATCTTCATCTCAACCGGGTGGAGGTGGAGGGAGTCCTGGGGGTTCTGATCATGAGTCAGATGGTTCAGTTGCAGCTTCTGGTTCATCGTCATGAGCAAAACGGGATGAAAATCCGTACAAGACTGAAAAGGGACTCATGCGCATCAAAGGGTATGATTCTCTCAAGATTTCGGCCATCCCGAAGAATGCAGCTGAATGCAGGGGTTTCAAGAATCAAGTGATTTCAGCAATTTGCAAACTATGCAAGGGTGATGAAACACCTCTTGTAGCATGGATCCAACGTTGTGGGATTGCAAAATCAGCCGCTGAGTTCCAGAACGTAGGAAATTGTCCTCTTTTGGACCGCACTTTGGGGCACAAACTTTTGGAGAATGCCAGAGGTTCAAAGTTCAGTTTGGATTTCAAACATTGCAAGAAAGATGCCAAAAGGTAGGTAAACAACCTTCCGGCCGTGCGCTGCTGTGGTTCATCCTGAACAAGCACAGCCTCGACAAGGACAGAGGTGCGAGCCTGAGTCAACATCATCTCCTTAGTATGAAGCTTCATGGGAAAGATGTCAAGTCATTGGAGGGCTTCCGTCAAAAGATGTTATACATCATGGGTTCATTGGAGCAAAGTGAAATGCCTCAAGAATCAGCATTGAGATCCACGCTCTATGAGAATGTCAAGAATCATCCATTGATGGCATTAGCAATTGACAAGTTCAGGTCAGCCAGGGAAGGGTCGTCCAAACGAACGTCCAGATGGTTGATGGAGAAAATTGATGAAACCATTGAGTTGGCTCACCCTGAGTCTCGGAAATTAGTAAAAATTTCATCGCAAAAAATTAGGTCGAAAAATTTACGTAAATTTTCACCTAATTTTTGGTCACCTAAATTTAGGTGCAATTTTAGGTTCAAATTTAGGTGCACATTTAGGTTGCAAGTGTTTTCTTGGGATTTATATATTGTTTTTGTTTTCAAAAAATATGTTATTTGACTATATATATATATATATACATATTGTAACGTTAGGAGATTGTTTTGATGATGAAATTTGATGGGATGTGTTGGGATGTGTGTCAATGTTAGTGCTATAGAATTACGAAATATGATTATATAAATAAGAGCTTACTTTGGTTATCTTTGGTAGTTGTTAAGTTACTTGAGGATGGAATTAGATTCCGTGTGAAAGTTTGATGTTTGTTTGTTTGGCTCTTACTTGTGTCGAAGGAATATTAATTACTTGTGCGAGACCTATTGTTAGGATGCCGGTTCTTACTTGCGTTCCAGTGAATTTGGCGATTCTCATCGAGCATTTGGCTGTAGTCAGTGGAAAGGTTGGTTTAGACTCAGGCTTTTGTGGCCTATTCAATGTCGAAGTTGGATGATTTGGTGAAATCGAAGTTGGCAGCAGCAGCGGAGGAGAAGTCTTCCAAGCAAAGTGGTCGTTTCAGGCTGGTGGCCGATGCAACGATTTCTGTTGCATCCATCCAAGAGGTTTTGACACGGCATGTGCACTTGAAACAGGAGAAGCAGATTTGGGCTCTGATTTGCCCTCCGCCGTCAGGACCTTTGTCTTACGGTTGGCACAGCAAACCAGAACCAGAGTGGCACATGAAGGTGGCATCTTTACTTTATGATTTACTTGAGATTTGCCCAAACACGAAACTCCACAGCAAGAAGGTGGTAGCCGTGTTGAAAGCCATGCAGCAGAACCACGACGTGTTCTTCCCCGAGACGAAGCATTCGACGGCCTTAGATATGATGGACAAGGTCGATGTGACTTTGCGAGTGCTTTTGCCGGTGCTGCGTCAGTTGAAGTGTTCTCACATCGCGCCCAAGAGAACGTACAAGATGCTGAGTAAGGTTGAGCAGTGCAAGTTGTCTGCCTTGTTGGATCGTGTCATTCTTCCCCCACAGTTGCTCGCTGGTGAGTCCTATGACGAGGACGACGAGAAGTCAGGTGCTGACATCTGTATGTCGGCATTCGAAGGTTGCGAACCAAAAACTTCCATTCCTGCCAGCTGTGGGTGACAGCGTTGGTTCCCGTGGAGAAGCAGGTTGCGAACCAAAAGGTTGCTCGATCCAAGCTCAACAAGGTGTCTGCGACACCGTCAGGTGGATCAAGGCTCATGAATCCGTTGCCTGCCATTTTTGGCAAGCTTCTCGGTCAAGACAATGTCATTCCTGCAGGAGCTGATGTCTTCCAGCCTATGAAGTCTGCCACCAATGTGCTTGCATTAGCGATGCAGCATACTCCGAAGGCGGCCTTGAAAGAGCAGAATAAAAAAACAGAGCAAGAAGTCTGCCAAGGGTGACAAGAAGACATCAAAAAAGAATCCAAAGAAAGGCAAGGTAGCCAAAGGTTCTTCAAAGAAGAAGCCTGTCAAGGGTTGCATTGCCAAGTCGACCAAGAAGGAGAATGCTGAGATTGTTCCTTTGGAGTCTCTTCAGTACAAGCCCGGAGAGATGAACGCCCAAAGAGATCGGTTCGTGCAGGAGCAAGTCAACCATGGCGGGTTGAGCAAGCGAGAGGCAATGAAGGCATGGTCGACATCGCTGCGTCGGGCGCAGCTTCTGAAGGATTTGTCCTTGTCCGAGCTGATAAAGCGTCGATTCATTCCCAGTGGGTCGAAGACCAACCCTTTTGCTGAGCAGGTCCGGCTCTCCTTGGAAGCTCCCAATGTCGATTGATATACTGTTTACTTTATACAATTGTACTGTTATGTGCTGTTCATACTTTAATTCTCATATCTCTGGTTCAAGTTGGAGAGGAGCGTAATGAGCTAGACACGTGTTTGCTTCGGGGCGTTGGATGTTTCTAGCTGCAACATCCGTGGTTACATTCACAGAGGATTTCGTGTTGATCACGACCTTGAGAAGTAAAAGTATTGCCTTGCCTGCTTCGCTTACTTGCGAACGTTCTTTGCTTGTTGTTTACTTTGCTAGAGTTACTTGTGTTCCTTCAACATCTTACTTTTGATTCCTTGGATTGACGATGTGCCATCAACATATTTATCACTGGATCAAGCAGGAACATGATGCTACACATAAAAAAGGGTTGCAAGCAGCAACCTATTGTTTTGCATATAGTCACCTCATGAGAATAGAAAAAAATGCTTCAACTCTGTGCCTTTTTTTCTTTCTTCCGTGCAATGGTGTCTAAGCTGGAAGTTCGAAATGTCAACTACCAAGTGATGCCAGATGAAGTGAGAAACACTTTGCACGCCTTGCAGGTGGCAGATGGTTTGCAAACGATTCGCCTAGATAGAGCTGAAGGGTGGAAGGAGCAGTGCGAGAATCTCATTCGCAAATGGGGTCCGGACTTTCTTTGTCAGATGGTCTTGATGTTCACTACCGAGGAACAGGCCAAGCTGTGTGCTCGTGTTCTTCACGGACGGTGGATTGCAGGTCTCAGTAAGCCTGGAAATAAGACTTGCTCCTTGGAGAGATGTTATTCACATATTTTCTGTCTTTTCTTTTTGGTTAATGCATGTTAATGCATCCTTGACACATTCGCTGAAGCATCAGGTTTATCCGCACTGACCTTTGGAGACCCTGACGCTCCTCAAGGTGTATCTGGGTGCAACATTAGTTCCGCGCAATCTGGAGGTTGTCGCCCACATTTACCTTTCTATCCACACTTTGTCTTTGTTGACCAAAGTGCTTTGCGTCCTATGTTGCCAGCTGCATCAAATATCCGCCAACTTGTCCCGCATCTATGTGCTGGAGAAATTCCACATGCTGTTGCTGCACCAAATGCCATAGGCTTAGCGTCGGTTCCGAGACGTCCTGCATTATCTTCGACATTTCGCAAGAATGATGCGCCTGGAGACAGTGCAACTGGGATTCCCTGTGCTCCAGCATCTCATTCTGCATCATCTGCACGGAGAAGTCGATCACCCGCACGACGTGCGCCCCCTCAGAAGACTGATGCCTTTCCTTTGGCCTCCCCCATCTCTGATGTGCTGTCAGATGATGCTTTGAGAGCCTCTTTGTGGCGTCTTCTTGCAGATGATTCTAGCTGACTGAAACATTGTGTCCACTTTGCGCAGGGTATAAAAAAAGGAACGACAGAGTCCTTCTGGATCGCTGCTTTTCGTTACTTGCGATAACGGTTACTTGCGTGCTTTACCACTTACTTGTGTTGTAGCTGTCCGTTCTTGGCATTACTTTTCATTACTTGTGTCCATTGGAAACATTCCATGACTGTGGTTTTCTGTGCCAGGAATCGTGAAAGAAAAGGTGGCACAAGTAGTATCAAAGACAAAATAAGCATAGACATAAACATATAATTTAGTTTTTTTTGCCAGACTTTAGACTGTTGCACGCATACATATTGCCTTTCCGGCAATCGCCGATCTAGTCGTGCTACCTTTGCCATGCGACCCTCTGGTCGTTTGCTACCTCGTGTGCACGTGTCCAGCTTGCGCTTCCATGTGACGAAAAATGAGATCCGGACCGCTGTCTATGATTATGCTGGCGTGCATAGGTCATTGAAGGAGATTCAGTTAGTTCGAATGGATGAACAAAACTGGAAACCAGAGCACTGCAGCTGCTTCCTGAAGATAGACAATGTTTCCGGGATGTGATAGTTGCTTTCTCTGGGGACAACTTTTTTGAGTCATTATTAGCATAGCTGCTTATACGATACCTGTTAAGAATTCCCTGGGGGGGTCATGCTATAGATTCTATAGTGATAAATTGGTTAGCTATGACCCTGGTTCATATGTTTTAAAATAAAATCATTAGCCCCTAGGGAAAAAAATGCTTTATAAAATGAGATTTGACCCCCCCTCAAAGTGATGCCCAACTCATCCGTAACTCTTTGGGGAGGGGGGCCCATGAAGGTAGACCAGAATCCGTACGGAATCCGGTGGCCAATCCGTACGGAAACCGGTGACCAATGACCAATCCGTACGGAATCCGGTGATCAATCTGTACGGAACCTGCACGGAAACCACATGGAATCCGCTGTCATTCATACAACTTTTTCATCTCGCTGTCTCTCCGTTTGTCTTTTCATGTCGTTTCAAAGCACCTGCCCGCAGTGCCAAGTCATTGTCTCACCTACAGCACCTACTGTCACCTCCAAAGAAACAAAACAATGACACGATGTAAAAAGTGATGAAAAACAGATAAAAATCACTCCGCTTGATATCGCTTGATTCCGCTTGACACGAAACGAGGTGACCTCAGTTTGAATCCTCTGATTCAAACACAAACACTCAGGATGCATTGCACCAATTGGCATCAAACCAAGCTGCACCACTTATCCGTACACTTTCAACTTGGTGCTACTTGAATTAAGTCTTCACATCATTTCACATCCGGCATCTCACAAATGGACCTCAGCAAGCGCAGCCACGGCGATCGGTTGCCATCATTGAGGTTCTTCTCGAGAGTCTGGAAATGCTTTTCCAACGACTGGCCGTATTCTGGTCTGCTCCTGGTCATGTAGATACTGTGGAAGTAAAAGCTTGCCTTGTCGACAACCTTCTGCCATGACTGCCCCTTCGCGGCATCAATCTTCAACCTGCAAGCTCCAGAGGCAGGGTCAAAGGCAGGCTTGTCTGGAAACTTGCTGATGTCCAAATTGAGAAGAGCCACCATTTGTTGCTGGATCAGTTTGTCTCCTTTTTTGGAACGGGTGAAGTTGGCGGCAACGGCAGGAATCGTATTGTTCTCTTCCTCGCCGGCCTTCTGCTTCTTGGTCTTCTTGCCTCCTTTGTCCTTCTTGTTCTTGTTCTTCTTGTTTTTCTTGCTCTTCTTCTTAGGTGCGGCTTTCGCCTTGGCCAGCCTGGTCCGCTTGACCACACGAGCCCTCCTCTTGCGGCCCCTGCCATTGCCCTTCTCAGGAACCTCTGCCCCCACGAAGCTGCATCTCCACCCCTCAGCTTTGGTCTCACGTGCCTGTTGGAACGATTCCACGGACTGCTCAGTCAATGTCAGCAAGCAGCGGTCGATGAGCTCGTGTTCCTGCAACTTGCCTCAGGAGGGCCAAATATGAATGGACATAGAATGACATAAATGGACCAGGCATGACCAGGCCTGACAAAGCACACATTCTATAAAATGACAGGTGTGACCCCCCCCTTGTGAAATAGAATCAAGTTCTGATGCTATCGATTTCACTGCGATCACATGCGATGCACCATGTCCCTGGCTGGACTTTGCTTTCCAAGAAGCTATCTTCACAGTCCAGGACTGCAATGAGAGCGTCCAAGGGAACAACCCGGGCAATGCTGGTGTCTGAAACCACGAAGGATGCAGAAGAGTCCTGCAATGGGCACAAGGATACCTCTATAAAATGACCTGTATTGACCTTCTTGAAGAGTATAATCCTTCTATGAGATCTGACAAGATACATCAATATACAATGAATATGGAATACAAGATGGTAAAAAAGGATAAAAAAAACGTATGTAAAAACAGCACAGTGAAATACAATGAATCCTCTTGTTGCGTTGCTTCGACCACCCGGAAGCAGAAGCAACCATTCACTGGACATGGATTTGGTGCCGGCTTGCGCTTCTTGCCGATGCGCCAAACCGTCAAAACCAATCCAAGGCAGATCGTCTGCTGCTCGTCCACATAGAGCACGACATGCCCAGACCTGAAGCCCATCGGATAAAAAACACATAAAGAGCATAAAGGGACATGCACATCACACTGCGAGTAAAACACGTGAAAAAAAAACAAAACGACAGAGGTCAACATCGGGTGCAGCTTGAGGAACTGAAGTGAGTTTGGTTCAGCCAAGGGTTTTGCGAACGAAGCTCTCAATCTTCTCCCCTGCTCGTACCAACGCTCCAGCCTTCCAGCTCGCACCCGATCACGTGATTCCACAGATTTCATCTGCTTCATCTTCAGCAACTGGCAATTGCGCTGATGCCAATTGAGTGTGCGACTGCGCTTCGCTCTAGGATTCTTGACCCATTGGGCGTCACATCCATCCGGTGCGCATCGCAAATGCAAACATAATCTCCAAAGCGCGTTCCACCTGTCGCCTCCACATGACCTTGGATCTGGCAAAAGTCCAAACAACATAAACAACAAAACAGATCCATGTGGTTCTCCCCCCTCAAATACAATGATTTCATAGGGGTCAAGGTGAAAAGCATAACAAAACCTGACATCCTAGCTTTTCTTAGCAAGGGCACATTGCAACACCCAGTGTTGCTGGTAGGTCCTCATCAAATCTCTTGCTGCTTGGCATATCATGCATCATAGGCAACACATCCTCCTTGTCTTCTGGTTCGAGACGCCGAAGATCTGCATTGAGGTCCAAATCTTCCTCCCTCATCTCACTCTGAGAAGCTGGCTCAGGATCAGGCACGCAAGCCTTTCTCGTCACTTCTGCCAGGACAAGTTGGAAACGATTAGTCTCTGACCTGAAGGCAAAAAGCTGACAGTTTCAAAGCTTACACCCCTTTGGCTCAGGAACAGTCATTTCATAGGAAGCACCATTGCCAAACCATGCTCCGAAGTTCAAAAAAAATATCAGAATCAGAATGATACACATAGAAGATCATAGAAGCGCATAGATGATCATAGAATATCACAGATGCACATAGATCCACATACATCCACATACTATATCATTGATATTCATTGATAAAAGATGATAAACGTTCAGGATATCACAAAACTTTAAAAACTGGTATATAATATTATATAATGATATATATATATATATATATAATATTATTTATATATATAATTATTTATATATATATATATAAATAAATTATATATGGCCAAGTGACATGTCCCGGGCTTCAGCTTCATGAGGATCATCAGGATCATCAAGAGTGTCAAACTCCATGACATGGCCGAAAGTTTGATCAAACCACCCTGCAGCGGCGCTTTCCTCATAGTAGCTCTTGAGCGATGCTTCTGTGTAGCCCCCTGCCCATGCTGCAAGCTTCACCGCTGCATTGTAGGCACGTTGACAGCAGCCTTGAAACCTCAAATTTGGGGTGCGCACGCACAGGATGCATTGTCCTACGTCTCTACCTGGCTATCCTAGAATAATCCTTGCTTTGCAACCTGTAGAATCTCAATCCTAATCCATCCTGCTCCATCCTGCTCCTATTTTTATTTATATATTTTTCAAATTTTATCAACTTTTATTACCTAACAACACATCACAAGACCATGACTGGGACTAGCAACTCCGTCTCAGTCAGGGCTGGCTCTTGCTTGATGTCCTTCAGCTTGACGCAGTCCTTGAATCTCTGGTTCGACGCACGCAACATCTCTCGTTGGGACGCCTCCCAGAATTGCATCGGGGAAAGCTGGGCATTGCTTTGCCTTCGTCTGAGCCTACCAAAGAGCTGCTCAATGCTCAGCTCGCTGAGCCTTGCCGTTCCATATTGCCAAGGGCACCAATCTGCCTGAGGCAGAAGTTCAGGTTCAATCATATCATGGTGTATGCAAAACATTGCAAAACTATCAAATTAGACTAAAACATTCTCAAAGTATGGGAGGAAACCATGTCAGAACCGATGATTTTATAGAAAGTACGAATGTTCATTGACAATGTATACGAGCGATCCATACTTTGAGACACGTAACTGGCTTCGAGGTCGCAATGCACACCAAACTCAGCGTCAGGTTCTGCAAGTTGGTGACAGTCTCTCTGGCCATGGTCATGGAACCCACAAAGGCACCACGGGATGCTTCCAGTTTCGCCCCCATCAGGTACCAGAGGTCGAGGAGAATGTAGCCCGAAACCGAAATCTCAGTCCTGGCCTTCAAGGACATGCCCTTGTGGAGCATGGGACTGAAGACCAAAGCCGTTGACAAGGACCATAGCAATGCTCCCCTGTTCATCCATGGAATCGGAATCATGCTCAGTGTGCCCGAGGTTGTGTGGACATAGAAGAAGGGGTTGGCCAAGAGCGCTTGGAGGCTGTCGCTCTGAGGATCATCCCTGGCAAATGCAGAACCAGGCATTCCACATAGGAGTGACCCACTAAGGTCAACCCAGAAACGACCCAGGTGCATCGTTCTCAAAGAACTTTGGGCTTGGCCCCCGCTGTTCTTATTGGCATGACCTGGGAATCACTCAGACAATCAGCTCCAGAATATTCTGGAAAGATGAAAAAACATACAGAAATCACATTGTCATCCAAATTATTTGCTTCATTGCGGATCATTCTGTCCATACCATCTTCTCATACTTCTTCATATGCATGACTCTGTGTGTGTAAGTGTGTGTGTGCATATAACATCATATAAAATCATTTTGCATGATATAGCATGATATAGCATCATATAACATCATCATATATCATATAACATCATATAACATCATATAACATCATATAACCACAGGGTCTCTATAAAATGACTGTACCCAACCCATCCATTCAATTCCGTTCCCATATGTTCCCATAGAAATGATGAAAACGGCACCAAGAAGATGCCCAGCAAATACCTCTGAATCTGAACCTAGGCACATGGTCCTGGAACGCAATAGTAGGGCTGCCCTTGAAAGCTCGGTGTCATCACCGGGAGACGTGGCAAATTGTGAAGTGGTAGAGGCTGGAACTTCAACTCCCGGAAAAATTTTGAGTCGAACAACGACCTGAGAACAACATTGATACTCTATGGGCCCCTCAAATTTCTCTCCAAGGCTCCGTGTGTAAACTGTTTATGCTTCGTGAAGTAGAGAACATAAAACACAGTCAGTTTATGTCCATTCGATAGAATGACAAATCACAACGGGCCTACATGAAAGATCAGGAAAATGTCTTCAATGCACAACCCAAAATGGAGGAATGGATAATGAATATCTTTATAATTCTTTAATATTCTTTAATTACATATCTTTACTCTTTGGCTTTACATGCCTTTACAAGCCTTCTTCCAAAAATGGTAAAACCTGGTCACATATCATCCCATATCATAACATATCATTATATATCCGAGAAACAACACTTCATGGTCACGCTCTCCACCTTGGCCGAACATAATCCTCCGGATGACTTGATGGGAACCGTGGCCATCAAAGCAAATGCACCTCACGTATGGGAAGGCAGTAGCCATAAAGAGGTCCACAGTCTGGGTCATGAACTTGCCATCCACATCACCAATGTTGACTGGCATTTCTGCTGCAGGAAGTGCCAATTGCTTCTCTGCCCCCGGATCAAACAGCAAGCAAGAACTCGAGCCTCATGTGTGCGAACTCCAGCCAATTTTGAAAGGCCAAACATCAGATTAAGTTGCATTAATTGCTCAAAGAAGATAATATAATATTATAAAATACTATAAACATCTATAAACTACTATAAAATCACTTGTCCCAACCCCCTCTATGACAATGAAAAATGAGGTACTTGTCATTCTTCAGATTTGTTTGGGTCCATGTCAGTCTGCAGCCAGAGTAATGCCATGTAATGCCAGTGTAGCTTTAGATCCAACAAAAAAGCATACAAAAGTAAAAAGCACACGGAAGCTGACACAAGGAACATGTCTGTGGTTGGTTTGATGCTTGCCATGTCCATCTCCTCGTTCAGCTCGACGCTCGCATTGCCACTACTCCAAGGTGACCATGCGCCTCCAACCAAAGAGACCTTCTCATTCTTGCGGTCATAGGATTGGCTGTTCAGCTGCAGCAAATATGTGCAGTCAAAGCACGCCATGAGCCTACCTCGGAATTTGAAGTGAATTCTAAATATCAGCACCCTTGGATACTATGAAATGACATGTGTGGACCTACTGATGTTATAGACTTGACATCAAATTGACAACATCATCCAACATCAGACACCTTCTTGTCAGCAACCCAGTCACATCCTGATTTGCCAGTGGTGGCAGACAGCCGTTCATCAATCAGCGTCAGGTTCTCCCGAATCTTGCTTTCCTGCGAGAGCGCCAGCATAGGACTCGGTAAGCCATATTCGGTCATGTTTTTCAAGCTTCTTTTCACGGCACGACTCCGGCCAAATCTTTTCAGCATCTCTGCGTTGCAACCAAGAATGGCTAGAGTGGCACCTGCTTCTTGCACCAAGCCCTTGGCCTCATCATTGGCAGCGATTGAGTTGGCTGCATTGCGGCCGGTCATTGCCAGTCCTTTCTCTTCTCTTTCCAACAGCTTGATGCAGCTCAAGATGAGACCTTGAAGCAAAGGATGCTGTGACAGTCTTCCTTCCACACTGCACTTGGCAATTTCGAGGTTGATGCGCTCCATGTCTGAAATCGATCTCTGCTCCAAAGCAGTTTCAAACACAGTTTGGACTCGCAAGAGTTGAGGTCTGGCCTCCAGGGCAGCGTGCACATTGACCTGGACACAGGGCGTGACTATCGACTCCATGAAACTCTGCATTGCCTGACTTCTCCTGCTTTCTTCAAGGCTCAGGAAAGATGACCTCACCCAGTTTTTTAGGTTCAACGCATCATAGCCCATGATGCGGTCGAACGATGTTCTGAAGAACTCATAGATAGGGTCAGCTTTCATCCTGGCTTCTCCTTCCTGCAGCCTCTCATCGGAATGGAAGAGCATAGCATGGAGCCGCTCTGCAGCATACTTCTTCAAAGCAAACTTGTGTATCATACGTCTGATGCTCAGACCGTCTGTGAGCTTGCTGCAGGGCCCACAAATTTTCTGAGCGCCCTTGACCACCTCCACAGTGCGCGTGCAATCTGAGTGCCGGATTTCGACACAGTCCTGGGTGAGCTTGTAGCTGTGCTTCTGGAGGCCGCAATCCTGCTTTTGCCAACTCATCCACTGTTGCACATGATGGACCATAGCATGTAGTTTGGTGGCTGCTCCCTCCGCTTCCAAGTCAAATTTGAGGATCACCGCTTCACAAGGTACCTCTTCAAGTGTTTGCTCGCCATCCTGCGCTGCATTCTTCGCAGCAAGTGCACCCAATGCTCTATTGTGACAATCAGTCTGCAAGTGTTGCCCGAGAAATTTTCTAACATCCTTGGGGTGCATGGAGACGGCGTCCACAACCTTCCCATGTGGTTGGCTTCTGGATGTGCAAAGGGTGCATCTGATGGGCACGTGCTGCTTGTACCCTCCCTGCGTCACGACCTGCCCACACAAACGAAGGCAACCAAACATAACCTATAAAATCTCATGTGCCCAGGGTACCATAACCATAAAAAAATATCAAATAAGATATCAAATAAGATCAAATAAGATCACATAAGGCATTTTTTATTTCCAAGCCAACAAACAAACATCAGATCATCATCAAACAGCATCAAACTACAGTTAAAATCCATCACGCTCCAGTTCATGCCTGAAAATGTGGAGAGATGGACATGACCAATTGCTCCAAGGTGAGACCGTTCTCCTCCTCTTGAGCTTCTCCTTTCTCTTCGTTTCCATCAAAGATGTTCTTCGCATCGTCAGGCATGTTGATGTCACCATCTACTATTTCAACATCTTCCCCAGTCATTGCTGCAGCTGTGTGCCTCGAAGCAAGGTCGGAATCAAAACCATGAGATTCCAGCAAGTACTGGCAAGCTTTGCACGAGAAGTCAGTCCAGGACTTGGTGTTCATCACTAACTCATTCTGCATCTGAGTGTAAGAGCCGAGTCGGCAGGCCGCAGCCTTTTTGCACCCAGCAAACCTGCAGGCTCTGGCAAGAAATGGCCAAAACATGGAAGTGGTAAAACAAATCACTGTATTCTATAAAATGCCCTGTCCTGACCTATCATCCTGCATGTTTTGATTGTTTTTCAACCTGAACACATAGCAAAAGAATGCAAAAGAAACAATGTAGAGGAAAACCACGGAAACCCATCAGGTCTGGCCTCCAGTGAGCAGTCATCCAGGCAGGGTAAGTGATGCCCTTATGTGCTAGATACTTTCGCAAGGCTAACAGCTGAATCTCTCGATCACCTTTCTGCTTTCTTCGGGCGACACGACGCCGTTTCTGGGCTGGCCCGTTCTCCTGGACAGTGTCCTTGGCAAGGTTCTCTGCAACATCAATGTCAATCTCACTGTCATCACCTTCCTGCTTTTGGTGTGAGTCCTCAATGTCGTCGCTCCCGGCAGCTGAGTCTTGTTTTGAACACTTGGATTGCTTCTTCTGTTGTTTTGTCTTTGATGCGTTCTTCTTGACAGTGGGCTTGGATGGACCGGGTTGGCAGAACTTGCTAGCATCATCCATCTCTTTGCCAGAATCCCCAAAGCCAGGAGCTACCCGGGCCCGTGCAATCCGTTTGGGATTCGGCTGCTGGGCTCCATCAGAACCATGTGACGTTGGAGCATCAACGTTGCCAAGATCCTGACCTTGCTTGTTGGGAGGAATTCCACATCCTTGCTCTTTGGATCCTTCGACCTCCGCTTTCACAAGTTCAAGGGCACCTTGGGACACACTGGAGGGCTGATGAATTTTCATCTGCTCATCAGAATCGACATACATCTTCTCGTACAACAATTGCCAGCAAGGAATGCCTTTCCTCTCATTCCATGCCTTGACTGTCTGCTTCCTCCACTCTTTGATGACGGCCATGTCCTTTTTGCTCTCTGGATCGATTTTGCTGCCATAAATGTCGTTCTCATACAAGCACTTGATGCTCCAAAGCAAACAGTTGCCATCGCCAGGGACATCTACAGGATGGAGGCCCGATGCGTGGCACTTGATCTCAAACTCCCGCCATTGTGTCTCCCTCAGCCATTCATCCTCAAGAGAGGTCAACGTGAGTTGCGCCAAGCTTGCAGAATCAGAAGCATCACCATGCGTTTGCTTCTCAACGCGCAACTTGGCAGAATGCCTCTTCTGGTCCCTTTTCAAGCGTTCCATTGTCTTTTCATATCTTGCTAGGGAACGATATCTCACCTTTTCAAAGTCATCGTCTCCTAACTCTTCTGCAAACCAAGCAGGGACAAAGTGGTTGATACCCTGTCCTCCAAACGATGAAGAGCACAAAATCAGCACACCCGCTGGAGAATCTTCTGGTGCCAATTCGGAGCTCATGTCCACCCCAAAGTCTTTGAGGTAATCCAAGATTGATGTGGGATTCAGGGTGTTGTGATTCTGATTGTCTGCGCAAAGCATGAAGCTCATGTTAAGGTACTTCGACATCACCATCAGATCCAAGACATCCAACTCCTCGCCCATCTTCTTGATCACGTTTGCATGCTTCTCCTGGGATCCAACGGAATCAAGCACAGACAGCGCATAACTCGTATTGACGGGATTCAAAAATAAAATCACTTGCTCTGACACTCCCCAGCTCCACAAACTGCAAAACCCATTCAAGAATGAGAAACTTACTCGGCATGAGTTTCTATAGAATGAGGTGTTATGAGGACTCCCCGTGAATAGAGCCCAGCGTCAATGAGTTTTGTGATCCTTGTGCTTCTGGCTGCATCAATTTCGCCAGATGCATGAGAATCTCCTGGCTACACCCCCTCACTTCAGGATTGCCAAAACATAAAATATCATATATATATATATATAATTATATAATGTGTATCTTAGATCCGGGTTGACATTTGGGGGGAGACCTTGCGCAGGGACTTTGTAGCTACAATCCAGCGGGTCACAGGGTCAGATCCTACAAAATGGAGTCCTGGGTAGCAAATAAAGACCCTACAAAATGCAATTACCAACTATGGATCATATCCCAAACGGATCACTACAAAATGTTTCTCTCCTGATATCATAATTCGTTATAATTCGCATATCTCCAATCCATTTCATTGACAAAACATTTTATAGTCTGATGCTTCTTCCCCCAACAAGACATAACATAATCACACACAAAACATTCTGTAGCACACGCTTTTTTGGGGGAGCTGTCATTTTGTAGTTGTCATTGATTGAATTTGATTGGATCAAGTGTTGACCCCGTGCAGTTGTTAGATAAGATTCTGCACTGGCAGCGGGCTAATAATAATTATAGGTTACGCACTGGCAGCGAGTTCAATTACCGGTTAGGTAGTGGCAGCGGGTTCAATTGCAGATTATGTATTGGCAGCGGGTTCAAAATAATCACAGGTGATGAAGATCATAAGAACCGCTCAAAAACAAATAAACTAAATGTAGTTTAAACATACATTTTTTCAACAAATAAGGCTTGGCAGTCCAAATCAGCCGAATACAAGTAAATACAACCTTGGGATTTCAATCGGTTTCTAAGAATTAATCTTTCAAGAGGTTCTTTACCAGGATTGTCAGAGCTATGGGCCAACAAAAACGATCTAAGCGCACAACTTGAATTTCAATTGAGGTTGGTTTTGAAACCAAATCTGTCCCATATTTTTCCTTTCTTCAAGTCTCTACACAAAAAGCACTGTTGCGAACTTTTTTGGGCTCATCTGGGGGGGACGCAGTAGGTTCTACAAAATGCTTGTGCACGTGTGTGTTACTACAAAATGCAGTGCGCAGTGCGCATGACAAATGTCATCCAGAAACCAGGACATTTGCTCTAGAATGAGGCTGCTTCAAGGGAGGTTCCAAGAATCACCCCTGCAAAATGCCAATCACGCATCGAATCTGTGCTTTGTGGCTGAAAGGAACTCTGAGCATGGATTCTTTGAACTTGGGTTAAAACTGACTATTGGACAAAAAGAGCAGGAACGTAGTAGAATGGGATACATTTGTATTAGAAATAGTAACGGCATGTAATCGCAAAAAAAGGTTCGACAAAAGCGCGGCTCAGATTTTTTTTACTGCAATCGTCAGAGCTATGGGGCAACAAAAACGGTCAAAGCGCACAGCTTGAATTGCAATTGATAAGTTTTGAAGCCAAATCCGTGCCATATTTTCCTTCTGACAGTCTCTAAATAACATGGATTTGTTGGAACTTTTTGGGGCTCATCTGGGGGGGACGCAGTAGGTTCTACAAAATGCTTGTGCAAGCGTATATTACTACAAAATGCAGTGCGCATGACAAAAGTCCTCCAGAAACCAGGACATTTGCTCTAGAATGATGCTGCTTCAAAGGGGGTGAATGCCATTTTACAAGGTTTGCAAAAAGAGCTGCGGCGTCGCAGGTTTATTTTCAAAAAAAGGGCTGAACAAACAAGAAAACGTCCAAAAGCTACAAAATGATACCTTACAAATGTGCAAACTCATGATTGCATCCATATGAGCTTCTACAAAATGTGTTTTCAACGAAACCATTGGCTGCTACAAAATGATTTTATTTTTTCCAATATCCCCCAATGATGCCAAAATTGGCAGCTACAAAATGTGATTCCAACATTGGTTATTTTCGCAAAAAACCTTATAAAACCACTCTGGGCTACAAACTGCAATGACCCAAGGTCTCAATTTTCCCTAAAAATTGACTAAACAAATGCTTCTATAGTGGCCTTAGGCCATAGCATTTTGTAGTGGAAATGGCATCCCGGATTATCTTAGCATATATAATCTTAAAATACAATCATATCTAATATATTCTAATATTCTCTTATCATATATGCATGTATCAAGTGCCAGGTTCTTCAATCTGGATTGCACAATTCCAACATGATCCAAATGCCTGGAACCCACCAGAAGTCCTGGGTGGTGATGCAGCTTTTCCGAGGCCTTCCATCACAAGCATTCAAAAAATTCTTCAAAACAGGTCAAATCCCATCAAAATATAGAACACATATGAACAAATAACATGTTTTTAAAAACGATGATATAAAATGATATAAAATGATATAAATGTCAAACATGTCAATGGAATTACATGGAGTCACTTACTCCCTTGTTATCATCGCATATCATCCCTAATCAGAGATCGCGTGTCCCAACCTCTATCTTCACCAGGGTGGAAGAGTCGTCCTGCCAATCCCCATCGACATTGACATCATCCTCTGGAGGCAGGGCGGCCTCAAAGGTGGCTGGCCACACATGCAGACATACTATAAACATCCTGGAACCAATGTCAGTCCAGATGGATACAGATGGTATCAGAATGTATTAGATTGTATAAGCAAATGCTAGCGGCCAAGCACCCAATCAAAAGATTCTGACACTTTAAGCCTGATTCTTGCTTTTCTTCTTCTTCTTCTTGGCGTTGCTCTTGCTTGCATCTGGATCTGGAACAAGATCAGTAGAACTTCCTGGCGAAAGTTAAAAGAATCTTGAAATGAGAAGCTCCTGAGCAAACTGTTTCGATCCATTTCAAAAAATCTCTATCTACCCCAAAAAAGATCAAAAATATCAAAAGAGATCAACAAAGTATCAAATGTATGAGGAACATCTCCTGAACATCACAGAACTATTTGGTCAGGGTGGGTAGAGACACATGATTTTATAGAATTTGGGGGGGCAAATCCAGGAAAACGGATCCTGCTGCATCTCCGGGCTGCTGGTCAGGATCCTGGCAACAGCTCGGTACGAGACATATTGGAGAATATTGGGACAACAGGAATCAAGAGGGCAAACGTGTGACCATACAATACCATATACCACATAATACATCAGAATACGTCATCATACCACATACAGATACATACAGGATCATACAGGCACAGTCTGAACTCTTCTGCACCTGAAACCATGCAGGCTTTTTCCTCTTTCTCTTCGGTCGTCCTGAGTGTTTGCTACTGCTCGCCTCTGTTTGCTCTGTGACCAGTTTGTATGGGGTGAGCCCTGTGATTTCATAGAGCACGTTGGTCCAGTTCAGCTCAATGCAAAAGATTGTCCTGCTGCACTTTCATGCTGCTGGGCATTGTCCTGACATAGCTGGGAATGAAGCGGGCAACAGTACTCCATAATAACATGCTCATTGCATCTCATTGCTGCAAACCTGCATGTACATCGATCAACTTTACATAACTTTACTATACTTTAAGTGCAAGCTGCATTATGGCATATGTTTCACCATCCTATGGCTGAGACCGTCTCCAATCAGAGGCGTCGATCCTTTTTAGTCCATTTTGATCCATTTTGCAACTAGCTACAGAGCAGTCTACAGAGCGTGGCCGTGTTTTTGCGGCTCCCACTAATCATCACTCATCACATCTTGGCATGGCTCTAGCGTCTATGTTGTCAGCACATCTACTCAAAGCATCGTTTGCAGAATCTCAGTTGTTTAGGATCTTTCATCCCACAGCATCCCTCAGCCAAGTGAATGCAATCACCTGTTGAGCTGACATAGGCAACCTTCTTGCTGAAGCTAACATCACTTTTTACCTCTCTCCTCTTTTGTGTTCCAAACTGACTTGAAGACAGGGGCTTCCCTCCACCTTCTGCACAACTGGTTTTTCCCTTGCACCCAGCATCCCCACAGGGCAAGGGCTTCCCACGAAGAGTGGCTCTCTGCTGGCAACACCAGGTCGAGAGAACTCCAAGGAAGAAACCAGGAAAAAAGAGAAGAAAGATCATGGCAAAGTCAAACACGTCCGCCATTGTACAGTGGTGAAGGGATGGAACGGTCACCAAAGTGAAACGACAACAGACTATGACAGGGTGCTTTGACGTTAATAACTTCGAGCCACAAAAGCCTGGCGAACAAGGCAATCTCAATTTTGCAGACATCAAATCACCATGCAAGGCATATTGCAAAATATATCAATATAATATAATATAATATAATCATTATATATCATTATATTGTATTTTAGCGTATTCCTTTAAATCAATTGCCCTCTGTGCCTCATCTGGAGCCAGCACTGGCGCTTCCTCAAAGAATCCTGGCATGGAACAAAATTGGATCCCATTCACCACGAAGACCCCTTTCAAAGGAAATGTTGTTTGAGATAAATCTTTCAGTGCATCGAAACAAACTGAAAGTGTGAACAACTTGATTAGACATGGTTGGAAAACAAAGTGGATCTGTCTGACTTGACATTCAAGACAGCATTCAATGGCCTTCAGCATTTGAAGGCGCTGGCGCCTCTGCCTTGCCCTCAACCTCTTCAGCCTACGTGTGAAATCGTCTTCATGTCTTTTCATCAGCTTGTATATTCTATTGTATTCTATTATTGTCTGGTGTTACCTGTAAGCGAGCTTAAACCCCATCTAGAAGAACTTCTGCAATCTGTTAAACGCTGGGCCTTTTCTGGCTCGGGACCTGCTGCGGACGTCTCACCACTGTATCCTGACATGGAAGAAAATTGGACCAAGGGGGGTCTAAACATTGCATTTCATAGAGCTGAGATCAACGTTTCAATGCATAGTTGCATCTCAACAAAATCACATCGAAACAAATTGAAAGTGTGAACAAATTGATTAAACATCGCTTGCAAGACAACATTCAGTGGCCTTCAGCATCTGAAGCCACTGGCGTCTGGGCCTTTCCCTCAGCTCCGTCAACCTACGTGTGATTTTTTATGTCTTGTCCGTCCATAGTGCACTTCACCCTGAACACACACACACACACATCTCCAAATCTCACCAGGTACATTCATAATATATCATATATATATATATATATAAATATATATAATATATTATAATATTCTACAAAATCATCGTACGATCTGCTGTCATCTGGACATGAGATGAACTGAGCGTTCAAACCCCATCTGGAAGAAATTCTGCAATCTTGTAAACGCTGGGCCTTTTCTGGCTCTGGACCTGCTGCGGACGTCTCACCACTGGCTCCTGACATGGAACAAAATTGGACCAGGGGGGGTCTAAACATTGCATTTCATAGAGCTGAGATCAATGTTTCAGTGCATAGTTGCATCTCAACAAAATCACATCGGAACAAATTGAAAGTGTGAACAAATTGATGAGACATGATTGGAAAACAAAGTGGATCTGTCTGACTTGACATTCAGAACAGCATCCAATGGCCTTCAGCATTTGAAGGCGCTGGCGCCTCTGCCTTGTCCTCAACCTCTTCAGCCTACATGTGAAATCTTCTTCATGTCTTTCATGTGGATTCCCTCCATGCTGCCGTAAACCCTGGACACCCCCAACATCTCAGCTGATATATTCATAATATATATTCTATTGTGCTCAGCTTGTGTGTTCTATTGTAATCTATTATAGTCTGACGCTACCTGGAAACGAGCTTAAACCCATCTGGAAGAAATTCTGCAATCTTGTAAACGCTGGGCCTTTTCTGGCTCTGGAACTGCTGCGGACGTCTCACCACTGGCTCCTGACATGGAAGAAAATTGGACCAAGGGGGGTCTAAACATTACATTTCATAGAGCTGAGATCAATGTTTCAGTGCATAGTTGCATCTCAACAAAATCACATCGAAACAAATTGAAAGTGTGAACAAATTGATGAGACATGATTGGAAAACAAAGTGGATCTGTCTGACTTGACATTCAGAACAGCATCCAATGGCCTTCAGCATTTGAAGGCGCTGGCGCCTCTGCCTTGTACTCAACCTCTTCAGCCTACATGTGAAATCTTCTTCATGTCTTTTCATGTCGATTTCGTCCATGCTGCACTAAACCCTGGACACACCCAACATCTCAGCTGATATATTAAGATATATTCATATATATTCTATTGTGCTCAGCTTGTGTGTTCTATTGTAATCTATTATGATTTGACGCTACCTGGAAACGAGCTTAAACCCCATCTGGAAGAAGTTCTGCAATCTTGTAAACGCTGGGCCTTTTCTGGCTTAGGACCTGCTGCGGACGTCTCACCACTGGCTCCTGACATGGAAGAAAATTGGACCAAGGGGGGTGTAAACATTGCATTTCATAGAGCTGAGATCAATGTTTCAGTGCATAGTTGCATCTCAAAAAAATCACATCGAAACAAGTTGAAAGTGTGAACAAATTGATGAGACATGATTGGAAAACAAAGTGGATCTGTCTGACTTGACATTCAAGACAGCATTCAATGGCCTTCAGCATTTGAAGGCGCTGGCGCCTCTGCCTTGCCCTCAGCCTCTTCAGCCTACGTGTGAAATCGTCTTCATGTCTTTTCATCAGCTTGTATATTCTATTGTATTCTATTATTGTCTGGTGTTACCTGTAAGCGAGCTTAAACCCCATCTAGAAGAACTTCTGCAATCTGTTAAACGCTGGGCCTTTTCTGGCTCGGGACCTGCTGCGGACGTCTCACCACTGTATCCTGACATGGAAGAAAATTGGACCAAGGGGGGTCTAAACATTGCATTTCATAGAGCTGAGATCAATGTTTCAGTGCATAGTTGCATCTCAACAAAATCACATCGAAACAAATTGAAAGTGTGAACAAATTGATTAAACATCGCTTGTAAGACAACATTCAGTGGCCTTCAGCATCTGAAGCCACTGGCGTCTGGGCCTTTCCCTCAGCTCCTTCAACCTACGTGTGATTTTTTTAATGTCTTGTCCGTCCATAGTGCACTTCACCCTGAACACACACACATCTCCAAATCTCACCAGGTACATTCATAATATATCATATATATAAATATATATAATATTCTACAAAATCATCGTACGATCTGCTGTCATCTGGACATGAGATGAACTGAGCGTTCAAACCCCATCTGGAAGAAATTCTGCAATCTTGTAAACGCTGGGCCTTTTCTGGCTCTGGACCTGCTGCGGACGTCTCACCACTGGCTCCTGACATGGAAGAAAATTGGACCAGGGGGGGTCTAAACATTGAATTTGAGCTGAGATCAATGTTTCAGTGCATAGTTGCATCTCAACAAAATCACATCGAAACAAATTGAAAGTGTGAACAAATTGATGAGACATGATTGGAAAACAAAGTGGATCTGTCTGACTTGACATTCAGAACAGCATCCAATGGCCTTCAGCATTTGAAGGCGCTGGCGCCTCTGCCTTGTCCTCAACCTCTTCAGCCTACATGTGAAATCTTCTTCATGTCTTTCATGTGGATTCCCTCCATGCTGCACTAAACCCTGGACACACCCAACATCTCAGCTGATATATTAATATATATTCATATATATTCTATTGTGCTCAGCTTGTGTGTTCTATTGTAATCTATTATGATCTGACGCTACCTGGAAACGAGCTTAAACCCATGTGGAAGAAATTCTGCAATCTTGTAAACGCTGGGCCTTTTCTGGCTCTGGACCTGCTGCGGACGTCTCACCACTGGCTCCTGACATGGAAGAAAATTGGACCAGGGGGGGACTAAACATTGCATTTCATAGAGCTGAGATCAATGTTTCAATGCATAGTTGCATCTCAACAAAATCACATCGAAACAAATTGAAAGTGTGAACAAATTGATGAGACATGATTGGAAAACAAAGTGGATCTGTCTGACTTGACATTCAGAACAGCATCCAATGGCCTTCAGCATTTGAAGGCGCTGGCGCCTCTGCCTTGTCCTCAACCTCTTCAGCCTACATGTGAAATCTTCTTCATGTCTTTTCATGTCGATTTCGTCCATGCTGCACTAAACCCTGGGCACACCCAACATCTCAGCTGATATATTAATATATATTCATATATATTCTGTTGTGCTCAGCTTGTGTGTTCTATTGTAATCTGTTATAGTTTGACGCTACCTGGAAATGAGCTTAAATCATCTTAAACACATCTGGAAGAAATTCTGCAATCTTGTAAACGCTGGGCCTTTTCTGGCTCTGGACCTGCTGCGGACGTCTCACCACTGGCTCCTGACATGGAAGAAAATTGGACCAGGGGGGGTCTAAACATTGCATTTCATAGAGCTGAGATCAATGTTTCAGTGCATAGTTGCATCTCAACAAAATCACATCGAAACAAATTGAAAGTGTGAACAAATTGATTAGACATGGTTGGAAAACAAAGTGGATCTGTCTGACTTAACATTCAGAACAGCATCCAATGGCCTTCAGCATTTGAAGGCGCTGGCGCCTCTGCCTTGCCCTCAACCTCTTCAGCCTACGTGTGAAATCGTCTTCATGTCTTTTCATGTCGATTTCGTCCATGCTGCACTAAACCCTGGACACCCCCAACATCCAAGCTGATATATTAAGATATATTCATATATATTCTATTGTGCTCAGCTTGTGTGTTCTATTGTAATCTATTATAGTCTGACGCTACCTGGAAATGAGCTTAAATCATCTTAAACACACCTGGAAGAAATTCTGCAATCTTGTAAACGCTGGGCCTTTTCTGGCTCGGGACCTGCTGCGGACGTCTCACCACTAGCTCCTGACATGGAAGAAAATTGGACAAGGGGGGGTCTAAACATTGCATTTCATAGAGCTGAGATCAATGTTTCAATGCATAGTTGCATCTCAACAAAATCACATCGAAACAAATTGAAAGTGTGAACAAATTGATGAGACATGATTGGAAAACAAAGTGGATCTGTCTGACTTGACATTCAGACCAGCATTCAATGGCCTTCAGCATTTGAAGGCGCTGGCGCCTCTGCCTTGCCCTCAACCTCTTCAGCCTTCGGTGATCAAACTTGCGCTGTCTTGCTCTAAGCTGTTCGCTATTGATGGATTTGTACGGATTGTAATGTATCACATGGAATCTTTATCACACCATATCACACCCATCAATCTTGCACGGAATCACCAGAAGCCAACAATCTCATACAATATCATACAATACAAATTCATACAATATCTGATTTCATCGTATTTCATCTGGACATGAAAAGAAATGACGGGTTGGAAATACATCAGGAAGAACTTGCACAATGTTGACACTTGGCCTCTGCTGGTTCTGGAGCGGGCAGCGCTGGGACATGCTGATCTGAATCTTGATTCGGTTCATCCCATCCTGGCAATTTGCACATTCTGCTTTGTGAAACTATTTCCATAATATTTTATGGTAATCCAAAGGTAAGCACACCTCTTTTTATTCAAGCTCATGAAGACAGAATTAAATGGAATATCATGGAATTACCGTAGTTGGGCAAGAAACAAGACTGCTTTGTAATGTATTATAAAATGTTATGATGCTTTAATATAATCCAAAGATATCATATAATATCATTAGAATTCATTACATATCTAAAGCATGGGGGTAGCAAACAAGGCCACAGGAGCCCACGTCCTTGAAATTCTTCTGGGAATCGGCGCAGATGATCGTCAAAGGCTGCGAATGGGTCCACCTGGGAGCGAAGAACGGCATGAACATGCCTTAATAACATAGAAGGTTCACTGTGTTTTATCTTGAACCTGCCATGCATGTACCGTCATGTACCCGCACTTCCATGTCATGTCATGTCATTTCTCCCACGGGTGACAAACTCAGCTCGATTGCTCTACATTTCTCCATCCCATCTGCAATTGTTCTCCACGCTGGAGAGTCCCTCAGAAATTCTCCCTGGGTCGCCACTCACTCTGTACAGAAACAAGGGGCTGGCACCAAGAATACCACTACCATCCACTACCAAACATTTGAAAAGAAAAGAAAAGGATTCGACGCACATCAGGATTAGGCGGTCTTGGCCGGAGCTGGCGATTGATCTGTTGGGCGATCACTCTACATAGACAATATCTTCTCCTTAGAAATAAATGAATCAAATGAAGTTGAAAGCCAAGTGAAACATACTGAAACTATCTGAAACTAATGAAAGACATTGAAAGATTACAAATTTTGCTTAGCGTGATGATCAAACATGATGGTACTATAAAATGCCAGGTATCGACCAGTAGAATAGCATAGAATAGCCATAAAAATGTTTTGACATACACCCTGGAACACTCTAGCATACCCTAGCATGCTTTGAACATCTTGAATCTGACAAGAATCTGCACCAGCACTGCAATAGGGCACGTGCAAATAATGAAGTGTAAGCTGCAGAATCACTGAGGTTCCGCCCTCCTTGCCACCCAGTCTGGGTCCTACTCCAATAGACCTGCCACGGCGCAGCTGCAAAAGGGATGCCCTTGTGTAAACGGCAATTCCAAGCATTTCCAAGCCATCTTCAACCCTGGAAACATTCCAAAACAAGCACAAACTGCAGCGACGCCCTACCTTCTTGACTTGTCGTCGAGCTTGCCGCCGCTCAAATCGTTCCTGAGCGCTGGGAGGCTTGGCAGGCATCTCACAACCTCTAGTATCCTCTAGCCAGGAAAACCCACTACGGAATTGGAAGCGACCAGGCTCTTTTTCACCAACAATATTTTAAGTCATGTAGAATCTATTCATTCATGTCCCAGCATGTCTTGATCAACATCGCATAATGCTCCATATTGCGACTGACTTTGATCGCTGAAGCACTTTGATCGCTTTGCGCAGTTTAGCATTGATTCTCCGGGCCACTGGTTCCGTGCTCCTGCGGATCAAGTGGGTTTGACATGTTTGACTTTTTCATTCCATTCACTTCGAAATGAACTGGACACCAGCGACTCGAAACAAAAAATAAAGGGCGCTGCGGCGCTCCGGGTATTGCACAAGAGGTGGCTGCACTTTTCAAGATCATGTCCGAATGCACCCATGTAGGTGGTTATCTTCTTCCTGGGGCTCCGGATTCACCGACTGGTTTGAGCTCCGACAGATATCGAAACAATAAAGGATCACAAAGGAATAAAATGTCTTCTGAAAATACAGAAGAAAGATGAAGACAAACCCTACGAGCTCATGAAAAACAATGAACCCAAGTGACAATCCCCACTCTTTGGCCACCTTCTTCATAATGTGCATCTTGAAAGCCCAGCTAGAAGCCGGTTGTTCAACTATCAAGATCAAATCTGTTCGCAACCTGCATCCAGCCCAACAACTTGGCCAGAGATGGTGGACCACATAAAAGCACAGGGACACAGCATGTCTCGACAATTGACAGAAACCTCAGGTTCAGTCCTGGCCTCCGGACCACTCGTAAGCAAATTGCCTTGGCTCAGGGGTTGGATTTAGGAACGGTCTCTAGCTGACTTAAGGACAAAAAATGCAGAAAGGGAATGAAAAGGATGGAAAAGGGAGGTCTCCTATAAAATCATTGGCTTTGGCCCCTTCTCAGAAAATATTTTAACACATGTGTGATCATGTTAGATCATGTGAATTCTGAATACTGTTTGATACTGTTTATGCATGCCAGTACCGTATGATACTTCAATCTTGAGGTTTCACGTGTTCAAGGTGATGATACTAAATGATACTACATGATACTAAATGCATCTAAATGCAATAAATCATTCTTCCAATGCAACCATCGGACAAAGTTGATCCATATAAGGTTTGACAATCGAACACGCATGTTGCGTGTATTGCCCATGAGATTGTCCAACGACCTCTGGTGCACAGACTGGCTGGCAGCAATGTGGAGACTGCATGGTGGCCCAGCCACCACGATGCCTCCAATCAAAAGCCTCAGAACAAACAAAAACAGCAGGACGACACGCACACACACACAAAATGTACGCAACATGAAATCAAAAACCCTGACCTTTCTGATCAAACAAAAATATAGATAGAATATATAGAATATGAATCACTGTGATAGATTGATTTAAAAAAAATAATGAAAACATGTATTCCATTGTGTTCCATGGTGCTGCATTGTATTCTTTTGTAATCCATTGGGTCACATGGGACCCAGTAAAGATTGACCCAAGCAACATGAACAAAAGGCGGATGAGCTCAACACAGCCACCGAACAAAGAGAGGTCATGTTGCTCATTCAGTTTCAAGTCGAATGCACAGGCAGAATATCCAGCATTCTCCCAGCATGTCTTTACCCTTTGGCTGGCACCAAAGCAATCAAGGCAATGCAGGGTCTGCGTACCTGGAAACGTGATGACGGGTGCGGATCAAATGTGGTGGAGAAGAAAAAACGGTGTGAGAAAGAAATTGACAACTTGACACAACTTGTATCAACTTATGAGTATTTCAAAGTACTTCATGTCTTTTCATGCAGTTTCAGGATGTTTCATGCAGGTTCCACCAGTTTCCCAGGTCACTCTCTCGGTGAAATCTGCGAGCTATGTTCGTCAACAACTCAACATTCTGCTCCGCATGAAACCACCTGCAGAGCTGTAGGGGGGACAGGAATAAGACATACTATGAAATGCCAAAACATGACCCCTGTCAAAGGCATAATTCATCATGATGATACATGCTGATACTGTATAGATGGATAAAGATTGCGTGTGATCCTGTATATAATGGCTGAGCGCAATGTTCCTGACACCTCGAACTCGTACATTCTCCAAAAAAATATCACTTACATTAATTTACACTATGATGATGTTTCAAATGTTTCAATGGTCCGTGCTCATCAGGAAGTGGGGAGAGAATGCCCGAGGTTTTGCCAAGCAGCGACGCTTCCTTGGATGAGCTTGTGGTGTCTTCTTGTAGAGACAGCGGTCTCTCTTTCACGGCCAGGGCCACATCTGCCCATAAGAAGAAGATACCCAAGAGCAAACCAAACCACAAGCTTGCTCGGAACATGGCAACCACAGCCAAAGCAGGAGTGGTGCGTCGTGCTTTTGTGTGAGCCCCCACAACTGCAGAGCTAAGATTTCAAAGCATGTCAAAACTTGAGGCATCAATCTAGAGTAGTCATTGACACTCATCCCACCTCTCTACACATCTCTGTCCTATAAAATCCCTGAATACAACCCCCAAAAATGCATATTACATCATATTACATCATATTACATCATATTACATCATATTACATCATGAGATTAAAAACTTGAGGCCTGCTAACTTTCCAAATCGGTTGTCACATCATAATTCCATGCCTACGGCTGAGATGTTCCACAATGATGTTTACTCCAACACGACCCAACTGGGGCTACACGCAGATTCAGCCGGTGCAATTGCCTTGGCCAAGCAAAAGCATCTATATAACTACATCTAAAAACTGCTGCAGGCCCACACAGGACAGGAATCTTCCCACCAAAAAACACTTACAAGAGTTTTCGATGAAATTAAATTCAACCTTCTTCATCGTTCTTCTATGTTCTTGCCTAAAGCCCTGCAAACCGTCATCCCTTGGTGAACTGGGGCGGCGAGCGCTTTCAGGCGCTACAGCAGCAGCATCCGTTGTGACCTGGATCAAAATACATGCAAATACGAAGGAATGGTTAATCAAACTGGAGTGATTAACATGATTGAATATTAATATGAGTGAGACTGACATAGCAAGATTTAAACTGGATTCAACAGGCATCTCACTATGCATTGAAACTCATCCCACCTGTCCACATCTATGTCCTATAAAATCCCTGAATACAACCCCCAAAAATGCATATTACATCATATTACATCATATTACATCATGAGATTAAAAACTTGAGGCCTGCTAACTTTCCAAATCGGTTGTCACATCATAATTCCATGCCTACGGCTGAGATGTTCCACAATGATGTTTACTCCAACACGACCCAACTGGGGCTACACGCAGATTCAGCCGGTGCAATTGCCTTGGCCAAGCAAAAGCATCTATATAACTACATCTAAAAACTGCTGCAGGCCCACACAGGACAGGAATCTTCCCACCAAAAAACACTTACAAGAGTTTTCGATGAAATTAAATTCAACCTTCTTCATCGTTCTTCTATGTTCTTGCCTAAAGCCCTGCAAACCGTCATCCCTTGGTGAACTGGGGCGGCGAGCGCTTTCAGGCGCTACAGCAGCAGCATCCGTTGTGACCTGGATCAAAATACATGCAAATACGAAGGAATGGTTAATCAAACTGGAGTGATTAACATGATTGAATATTAATATGAATGAGACTGACATAGCAAGATTTAAACTGGATTCAACAGGCATCTCACTATTCATTGAAACTCATCCCACCTCTCCACATCTCTGTCCTATAAAATGTCTGAAGCCCTGCTCACAAACTGCATATTTCAAACCATTTCTTAAAATTTCAAAACTATCTATTCTGATCCAGTGGCCTCTGCTTCAGAAGTCTCTGGAAGATCAGGAGGTTCAAGAATGGGCTGGCACACGATGTCGCATGAGGGAAAACAAAAATAAAATAAAACCATATAAAACCTGGAAATTTGATGAAATTTGATGAAAATTGAACAAGCATCCAACAACAAAACCAGCTCTCACAGAAGCTATGGCCTGCTTGAGCTTTTTCTTTGTGCGGGAAATCTCATGAGTGAAATGCCTAGGCCGCTGCTTCAAACAAATGGATCAGAGGCAAATAGCAAGCAAATCGATGCTAGTAGTATCAAACTGTCAGATATGAAATCCAAGCGTCTCTTCCCAGCACACATAATGCCAGGAAGGTCTGCCCGAATACATGTTGCAGCGGCTGACTCAGTGACCAGTTGGCATAACATGGCATAACCATGTTCGAAGACATCTGAAACCAAGAAAGTTATTGACATCCATTGGCCAATATTGACAACACAATGAAAATCTGACCCTTTGTGCGCACTGTGATTCCAGCCCAGTGACGCCAAACACCTCTCGTTGCATCCCATTCAGGAGGAGCCATTTGCTCGACACACATCCCTATCCCCTTAGTTCCACACATTCCTGCACTTGAGATCACTTGAGTACGAATGTCAAGCGCTCAGCATATGTTAAAAACAGTTTGAAACAAATGATATTAAATGCCTGGCTACACAGAATTGGGGACACCCCGGCGGCGGGCCACGACGAACGGGACACCGCGGCATAGCGATGGAAGACACTGCGTCAAAATGACACTTGTTGCACTGTTTGAGCCATGGAAAGGACACAATAGATTCTTCAAATTCCGCAATTCCTGATTTTGTAAACTGTCCTGCCCCCGCCCCCCACATTTCAGTGCCCAAAACCTGCACACATGGCGGGTAGCAATCAAGCATTATATCTGTCAACCCTTCATTGGAAGGTTAACTACTCTTAAAAGAATACATGTTAAAGATCCTCTCAACTACAAGCCAGGGACCCCTGGGCACTGATTCCAGACCTTTTACATAGGTCTGAAGTGGAGGTCTGAAGTGGTTACACCAAGGGATTAACAACACCTGGGTCTAGAATGATGAAAGGACCCCTGGAACACATAAAGGTCTAGAATGCTGGGTCTGAAATGGTTTGTCAGCCCAAAAGATTTTGTGAAACGGTCTGGTTTCAAGGTTTTTCTTTAAACAAGACCTTTCGGCCCAAAGGATTTTGTGAAACGGTCTGGTTTCAAGGTTTTTCTTTAAACAAGACCTTTCGGCCCAAAGGATTTTGTGAAACGGTCTGGTTTCAAGGTTTTTCTTTAAACAAGACCTTTCGGCCCAAAGGATTTTGTGAAACGGTCTGGTTTCAAGGTTTTTCTTTAAACAAGACCTTTCGGCCCAAAGGATTTTGTGAAACGGTCTGGTTTCAAGGTTTTTCTTTAAACAAGACCTTTCGGCCCAAAGGATTTTGTGAAACGGTCTGGTTTCAACGTTATTTTTCACACACGACATTTCAGCACAAAGGATTTTGTGAAACGGTCTGGTTTCAACGTTTTTCTTTAAACAAGACCTTTCGGCCCAAAGGATTTTGTGAAACGGTCTGGTTTCAACGTTATTTTTCACACACGACATTTCGGCCCAAAGGATTCTGTGAAAGGGTCTGGTTTCAAGGTTATTCTTCACACAAGACATTTCAGCCCAAAGGATTTTGTGAAACGGTCTGGTTTCAACGTTATTTTTCACACACGACATTTCGGCCCAAAGGATTTTGTGAAAGGGTCTCGTTAACATGGCTAGGGATAAAACGTTTTATTCAGTCCCCAAGTGGGGGGTCATGCTCTCATTTTATAGAGAAATCAGGTTTTATCCTTGGCCGCCTGGGGGGTCAGACTTTAGATTTTATAGAGACTTTATGTTCCCAGATTTGTGTCTATAAAATGATAGATTGTGACTCCTTGACATTCATGTTTTGAAGAATGTAAGACTCAATAATGGAGAACCATCCACAGATACCTGTCTATAAAATCTATGTTGTTGGGTTATCTAAAGCCATATTTTGATTTGTTTTTTTAACAGTGGATAACTTTGCATAGATATCTAAAGAATTCTAAAGATATCTGTCTATAAAATGCATATTGCTGACGTCCTCTAAAACTATACTTTAACAATCCCCCCAACTACTAAAGGTCTAGAATGGGACCCCCCCTGGGGGTTTCGTTATGAAGGACTAGAATGGTACACCTATCATTCTTAACCTTGGTCAGCCTAGTGGTAAAACCATTTCAGACCTAGCGAATGTATATAGGTAAAACCATTTCAGACCTTTGGATGGAGTCTTATTCTGCAGAAGAGTCACAAGAGTTTCATGCAACTTGGTGGAACTTATTTGTTTGGGTCTTTTGACGTTGCGATGCGAGTCGTCCGCGTCAATTCCCCCTTGTTTGATCAAAATTCCACCAAGTTGAGTCATGTGTCAACACTTTCATTCCTTTTGCCCAGGGACAGGAAAGGGAGGCTAAACTTTCTATGCACAGCCTTCTCTTTTCAAACAAGCCTCAAGTCCATCATGACATCATTTTGACAAACAAGTGTAAGTCTTCCGAAAGCCAATCCCAACCTAGACAGGAAATGCAACAGCAACCAGCCATCAGCCATCAAACCCAATGTGAGGAATAACGTTGAAACCAGACCGTTTCACAAAATCCTTTGGGCCGAAATGTCTTGTTGAAGAAAAACCTTGAAACCAGACCGTTTCACAAAATCCTTTGGGCCGAAATGTCTTGTGAAGAAAAACCTTGAAACCAGACCGTTTCACAAAATCCTTTGGGCTGAAATGTCGTGTGTGAAGAATAACGTTGAAACCAGACCGTTTCACAAAATCCTTTGGGCTGAAATGTCTTGTGTGAAGAATAACGTTGAAACCAGACCGTTTCACAAAATCCTTTGGGCTGAAATGTCGTGTGTGAAGAAAAACGTTGAAACCAGACCGTTTCACAAAATCCTTTGGGCCAAAATGTCTTGTGAAGAAAAACCTTGAAACCAGACCGTTTCACAAAATCCTTTGGGCTGAAATGTCTTGTGTGAAGAATAACGTTGAAACCAGACCGTTTCACAAAATCCTTTGGGCTGAAATGTCGTGTGAGAAGAATAACCTTGAAACCAGACCGTTTCACAAAATCCTTTGGGCCGAAATGTCTTGTGAAGAAAAACCTTGAAACCAGACCGTTTCACAAAATCCTTTGGGCTGAAATGTCGTGTGTGAAGAATAACGTTGAAACCAGACCGTTTCACAAAATCCTTTGGGCCGAAAGGTCTTGTTTAAAGAAAAACCTTGAAACCAGACCGTTTCACAAAATCCTTTGGGCTGAAATGTCGTGTGTGAAAAATAACGTTGAAACCAGACAGTTTCACAAAATCCTTTGGGCTGAAATGTCTTGTGTGAAGAATAACGTTGAAACCAGACAAGGTTTTTCTGCCCAAAGGATTTTGTGAAACGGTCTGGTTTCAAGGTTTTTCTTCACAAGACATTTCGGCCCAAAGGATTTTGTGAAA